GCCAGCCAATTGAATTCCAGAATTTCGTGGATAAAGAACGATCGTTCGTTCGAGAAAAACGAAACGCGAAACTCGAGGCGGTTGTACATATCTACGTACATATCTATGTACATCTCTGACGAGCTCGTCATTTTGCGTAATGATTCCTGCATCGATCAGCCATTAACTACCGTCCCCGAGGTAATCACCTAAATTAAATTCTAACTATTCCGTAATGGGGACTCTCGGTGATAATCGGTCACGATTTACTGCTAATAGAAATTAATCATTGCCGACAAACAGCCGCGATGATTTACCATAGATGGATAGAGTGGGCCAACAATTGCAGCTTTTGAATTTTTAGAAAGTGAAGGCAGTGGTAATATCCTCTAATTTTAAGTTTATTCTTAATTCTCATCCGTCCCTCGTCTCTCTAATTTAATTTGTCCCTTGATATCTGATTGACATAGCAATACGAAGAATTAATATTCAATAAATGGTTAGATTTGCAAAGTCTTCTGTTGATAATGAATAGAGTAAATTCGTCTATATTGAAGATATACGCAAATTTTTATTATGTGTATAATTTCATTTCTTTTAGACAAGTAGTGTATTGAATGCATAATAATAATTAGAAGACAATGTATCCACTGTCGTTATTTCCAATTGTTATTTGCAACTCTAGCAGCACATTCCGTTATCAAGAACCTCGAAAATATATGTTGCACGTACGCTACACGTTAGAGAATATCAAAAATACACATTGCACTCGTACAATATTACATTTTACAAGAGAAAGATGTAAAATTGACACGAGAGGTGGATGAGGATAAAAATCTATCAAATTCGAAAATCAACGGGGAAAAACGTCTTATTTATCGGTCAGCCTTTATTTTACTTTTGAGACGCGAAGGAAATTTGACAACGATAGAAAAGAAATTGATGGACAAAAGGCGCGACGTCGACGTCAGGTTTGTCAATAAGTAAATTAAACGTCGCTCGATTAAAGAGTTGAGTCGCTTAAATTACATTCTTCGCTTTCCAATGGTCCAAAGGATAATTCCGAAAATGCAACATGCATCTTATGCATGGAAAACCGACGTCTCCGATACCGATGCGGCATGGTAAAAAAGGGAGAGAGAGAGAAAGAGAGAGATGTCGGGACAAACGAAGAAAAGTAGCTCTTGCTACTTTCAGCCAAAAAGGGGAATTGCGGTTAACTGTACGAAATCGGTACGGTTTCGTGGAGAAGAGGGTTGTTATAAGCGGCCTTACACCACGCCCAACTTGGCCCGCGAACTGGGGCGGTGTCACTGTCACGGAATCGATATCTGTTCACTTCCACTGAATTTTACCACCCTCGATTGAGACAAGAAAAGCGGCTAACTTTTCTTTGCCGATAACTCTCGTTATTTCTCGCCGTTTCTCTCTGGCACATGTAGAATCCGTTTGAGGAATAACGAGATTTGTTGCTTCAACGCGTCCACTTATCAGGTTAGGTTAGGGTTAGGCTAGCGATGCACTAGCAAGGGGAGGACTTCGATTTGGATGAGACGCTGCAGGTGTCTTCTTGGATGCGGTAATCGAGAATTTAATACTGTGAATCACCTTCCGTAACTGCAATATTAAACAATAAAATTTAATCGACACATTGAATCGAAAGAAATGACAAACGGGTTATTGTCTTAACACAGCATCGGCCCTTAACAAATTAATTAGAGACTTAGTACGTGCATTGAGAAATCAATATATACTGCTGTAACTGACTTTTTTACTTAAAAGGTAAATAGCAGCGGTCGCTCATCCATTCTTCCTATTTAAAAGACTTGAAATCCCAGTAAAAGACGCTCCAGACGTAAAGGTATCTACAAGAATGCTGAAGAAATATACTAAGAAGAATTTCTACGAATATCGTCAACGTTTAAATCTAGACGCAGACTTTTCAACATTACTTAACTCTTCAGATGAGTTGCATTACACTCGCGATCATTGATAAATATCAATAAATTCTGCGTCGATAGAGTACCACTCATTCCGTTTGGATATCAACTTCAGAACTCGTTCTACTAGCTCGAGACGAAAAATATGCACCATCTTCCACTTCGTTTCTCGTCTACGAGTATCAGTCGCTTTACGAGAATCGGACGTGGTATTCCCGACCACGTACAGTGCTATTCCACTTACTCATCTACTTACCGGGCTATTTTACCTCAGTGACGTAGGGACAACGTACAAGCCACGTTCACGTCACGTCTGACTATGTACCGACTCGTTCTACTTTATCCGTTCGACGCGCACCGCTTGGAAATCAACGAAGCGAGTTTATCCTTCGTTCGTATCATTTCCTCGTCAAATAGAACGACGATTCGAGTTCGCGTAGAACAGAACTTCCTCTAATAGCGGGTTTAGAGGGAACGAACGAGTGTCGGCATTTAGAGTTTAGAGTATCAATTAATACGAATACTAGCATGTACTTTCAATCAAAGTGGAGAACTACAGCCTCTGAGTTCCTGATTGAATTTAACGTCGCTCTCAATTTTCTCATTATTCTGCACGTTTTCAGTAAAATGCATTTCTGCAGCTCGCCTGGATCTTCTTCGTGTCGCAACGAATAATTTTCTAACTTTCTTTAGATCTGCAAAACATGCGGCGTGAATTTTGAGTCTAATATTAATTTATCAGAGTTCAAAGAGTTTCAAAGAACGTACTTTTCCATCGGCTAAAGTATTGATGATTTCGAAAACTTCAAAAAGGAACAACGTCTGTAAAATATTGGTCTCTTAGTAGTATTCGAATTACGTATAAAATATCTTTTGCATCTTAACAATTAAAAAAAATATATTCACATCTAAATGGTCCATTCTGTGCAGACACAAATAATGTAATAATAGTTTGTTCTTTCTCTTCTTGCTTTCGTTACAGTTTGTATTCTCTCCATTTCATAGACATCGATATACTGTTTCTTTTCAATTATACTTCTTCAATTTCTTTTTTCTCGCATCAATCAATCTGCCATTTATAAAGCAGTGCATATACACTGCTTATTGCATCGTCTTGTTACTTGCAAAGTAATAAATATAACTCAACAAACATGAGTTTGAATGTGAGACACATTCCACGATCAATTATGAAAATGTTGTTCATTTATCTTCATAATTTGACAGACCGAGAGAAACTACATCGCTTTTTCTGAGCCATGTGTCATTGTGTTTTCTTTTTTTTTCTGTTCTGACTGTCATTATGAGCAAGTACTCCGTAATTCTTTCATTAACGAAATAATTTCCTCAAAATTCTCGTTTCTTCGAGTTGTGTCATTTTCTTTGCTAGCATGTGTTTCTTCTTTCCAATCTTCCCTTTCGCAATATAAAATTAGTAACTTCTGAAATGGTGAATTTCCTCAATTTTGAATTGGTATTCTATCGGAATCATCCACTCCGTACTCTGTCGTTTTCACAATAATAACAAATACTAAAAATAACAGTAATATATCATACATGAAAATATTAATTATTATGTGTATATACTGCAGTACTGTGATAAACGCTAATACTGTAATAAATAATTAAAACTAATACTGTAATAAATGAAACAAAAACTCGCGATTAAATTCCGCTGAAACTCTCGCGAAAACACGTACTAATGGTGAAAATTCTAAAGTGGTCCGAGTTCAATGGCGGGGCGCGACATCAGCGTAATGAACGATGCAAATACCAGCAGCACGAATTTGGTCGACGAGCGGGATAGGCGAACGAGCATTCGTTCGTTTGGTCTAAACGCAGCGCAACCAACGAACGCTTTGAATATCGATCGTCGACGACGATCTCGGAAATCTCGGAAAACTCCTGGCGACGAAAACGGCAGGAACGCGGATGAAAATCCGAGGGCCACGCGCGTCCATCGAACGATGGAGCGTGATCCGTCACGCGGCCGAAGTATCGTTCGTCCTCGAGGGAGAGGCTGCGGCCGGCTGACGTCGCCGAATAAATCCAAAATCAATTTCTCCGGGTTCACGAGAGCCCGGGGCTTTGACCGTTGTTCATCGGTGGAAACCAACGACGTGTCGCGTCGCTGGCCGGGCAACAAGCAACGATTTTTCATCTCTTATCGTCACCGTGGACGCCGTATCGCCGCGTGGCGTACAGCGGAAACCGGTGACAGTCGATGCGTGCGCGCAGAAAAGAAAAGAACGAGACAGACGATGGGAAAAGAATGAAAAAAAAAAAAAAAGATTCGAGAGGATCCAATTTCGCTAAGTCCCTCGCTTTCGATCGATAATTCCTATCGATATCTCCAATTGCTCGGTTCGGGGCGACTCGCGGCAAGTTATTAACAAACGTTTCAACTTGTTATCGTCGCGCGCATCGAGGCTGGCCGCAGCGTTCGAATTTGCGATTGTGCAAAACCGCGCTAACGACAACCGGTTAAACCCGACTTATTCTCACATCGGTTGTCTGTTACCAGTTGCAATTGTACGAAACAGTTTTCGTGTAATGTTCGACCCGGCGAACTACTAATCCTATTATCGCCGTGACCGACGATGTAACAATATTACAAAGAATCGTTATCGTCGATTCGATATCGGTGAGCTGAACGCGAGCAGATGCCACGGTGGCTCTTATTCGTTCCACGCTCGCTTATTTCATCGATTCGATTCTATTTGAAATTCTCCCTCTAACGACAGGCGAGTTCGTCCAATTACCGAATATATAACCGTGTACGTTTCGGATGTTTCTGTTGTAACTTGCGCGTCACGCGAAGATATTTTTTTCCGCGCACGACGAGTTATTTCCAGCTTCTTTCAAATTTGCATCTCGTAGTGAATTGGTATTATTCGGTCGACGATGTTTGCATTAATACGAAGATGATTCTTATGTCTTTTAGATGTTGACACTTTATTTCGAATGAGTAAGTAAATATGCAACGTATTTTGAAGCTATATTTATTCATTCAATTATTGTCAAAGTTCTGACCTATTCAATGTATACGTATTGAGTATTTATTTTTTTAAAGCTGACTTTTCATTAAGTATCAAGCTTTAGTTTTGCAATACCTTTTCTTGGATCTAATTCATGATCTGATTCATGTTTCCACGTGTCTATTAATATCGATCATTCAGTATCGACTAACATATTGTAAGAACAAAATTTTTTAATTTGTAAATTCAATAAAAACTGGCAACAGGTAATATGTTCATTTAATCGTCTTTTTATCGTTTATCGTCCGCGGAAATGTTTGAATTTTTTCCATAGAAGAACATTTTGAAGTTTTATTAAAACTTTAACGAGAAATACCTATTATTATTATTATTATTATAGTGCTAAAATTTGAAATCAATCAAAAAATGTACAACTACAGAAGTTACAGGATATTTATTATATATTTAATTAAAAACTAGCAGGTATAGTCACGAATAGCCATTTTAAGGACATAACAAATGTTAAACTGAATATCGAAGCTCACTGATATAGTGCAATATATTACAGCTGTTTAGATAGTTCTCCAATCTTTACAAAATATATATTTATATTAAATATCTAGTAATTTCTATATATAAATGTATCTTTTACCATTCCGCACGGAAATTTTCCCAACACTTCGAATAATCGATTAACGTCACAAGCAAACAAGTCATAATACATAGTTACAAAAATGGCAAAAAAAAATATTTTATTGTGAAAGAAAGAGGTCTGATGTAGAAAATATCGTGATGTACATCGTAATTACATATCGAGGAGTACATTCGTGGTCTTACTTTTCTCGCTAGCGAAAATATCTTCAAATAAGAAAGCTCATACGCGATACGATGTTCATATCGAGAGAGACAACGTTTCCCTTCGAACGGAGTTCTTTGCCGTGGCATCCCGAAGATATTTCTTTCGAGCGAACGTGTTATTTCATGTTATACCTGGTCCAGTCGTCGAAAGATTCAGCCGTATCGGCATATTCTGGCGGAAGTTGAGGCCGTCGCGCCGTTGGCGCGTCGTATTTCCCGAGGGCCATGTCGATCAGGGAGAAGCTGCATCCGGCGAACATGGTGGCGCAATCATGGCCCTCATGGCCTGCTTTGTGAGCTCTGCTGTACGCATGATGCTCCTCTGGCTCATAGCTGAACAGCCGCTTCAAAGGGAAGCTGCAACAATCAAAAGGAACGGAATGAATGGTTGTGACCTGTCTCTGCTACTTCGAGAAGCCTCCTTCAGCTACGCATAGCGATGAATTAAGGAAGATCGAAGAGGATCCGACGGAGTCGTGTAAATTATCGTGACTCGTGATGCAGAAAATCAACACCGATGTTTTGCATTCGTCAAATTTTCAATATCTCAGCCTCATCTATATGTAATAGATATTTATATTTATTATAACATTATAATATAGTTTGTATATTTCATACGTATCGATGTAAAATTCAATATTAAACATTTTATTCTACGAATAAGAGAGGAATTTGACATATTTTCATATCGAATTGAACATCTATACCTGAGAGTAGGTTACACACAATTGAGTAAAAATTTAGTATATTTATTATAGTCTATGATAAAGGAATTTGAAAATTTAACTCGTGTACGTTTTCATATTATTAATTTCTTTACCATATTGATTTTTTGTAACACTATGTCAATTTGACATCAAGGGACGAATTAAGTTGAAGAAATGAGTGATAAGATAAGATAGATAAAGAATGGTTTCATTTTATAATTAATTATAATTAATTTGTTAGTGAAAATTTCTAAAAAAACTTCCCATTTCTAAAATATTAACAATGTTTCTTATATTTATTATCGTAACAAACATCGTCGTTTTTGCAGAATTTGCATAAATCAATAAATAAATTAATGTTTGTAAAACTTTTTAATTCTTGTTTTTCCTTAAATGTTTGAAATTACATGGACTGTAATTGACTGTGACTAACTACATATTGGAAAGAATTGATTCGAAAAAGTGTTCCAATGTCAATGGGAAAAATTGTTTTACTTTAAACAGTTTCAGGAATTTGCAAATCATCAATTTCATGAAATGAAAATTGTTAAATAATGCGATGATGATCGAATAAATAGTTTAACATCTGGAAAACGAAACAAATTCATACGTTTAAAAAATTAAGGTACAAAAATGAAATAAAACACGATGAAAAATATTTTACTAAGAAATAAAAGAACGTGCAAATATTTTTTTTTTTTTTGTATCCACTTGATATTCGGTTATTCGATTAAGTGAAATCAAATATGCTTCGCTGAGATAACAAACTATAGATACTACTGAGAAGAATCAATAAAAATAATTTAAAAATTGGGAAAAAAAAGAAGATATTGAAAAAAGTTTGCGAACTAAAGTGATGTAGAAAAGAGAATTCAAAAAAGATTCATTTAACGCAATTTATCAATTAATTCGTTAGATTGTAAAACATTCAAGCTAATTCACAATTTTACGACAACTAGTTGTTCGTTTCAATTATAAAAGTACATAGCTCATGAAAGTATTTGAACATTTGTAACATCTGAATACATTATCCTTTCTGAATATATTATCTGTATCACATGAAACATTTCGAGATTATCTATTAGATTAATTATACAATTATATTAATAAGTCTTATATAATAATAATATTCAATATTATATATTCAATTCCATACATTTATGCTTGATATACGAATATATCTTAATTTTTTACTAAATGTACATTAGCAATAAATATCTCGTAATTTCTATATACATTTCCAAAATGATTTCAAATTAATTGATAATCGTAATAGTCGTCTCTCAATATATTATGTCAATAAAATTTCAAAATATATTATGCATTACACGTAATATCCATATAAAAGTTTCCCTACGCCAAGTGTTTTAATACTTTCATGATCCAGTTTAAATAAAAAAAAAAAAAAACATATATATATATAAGAAGCAAACAAACCGTGGGAAAATAATCATGGCGTTTATAGAATTCAACGTGATTCCGTACGCGATTAATGATAGAGGTCCAAAGGAATGGTGCGAATTAGAGTATACCGAGGATGAAACGCGTGAAATATCCGCGGAGGGTTTACCCTTTTAATCTTATTTGCTTAATAAAATTCGTCTCCGACTGGCTCTGCTCGCTTCTTTTTCCGACCGAAACGAGATTATTCCGAAATCCCATCGATCCCTGACTAAAGCCTAACTCCCCCCCCCC